AATGAGAAGCAAAGAAAAGCCAGGCTGAGGTTTGCAAAATACCATAAGGATTGGACCGTAGAGGACTGGAGTAAGGTCATCTTCTCTGATGAGTCCAATTTTCAGCTTTGCCCAACACCTGGTCGTCTAATGGTTAGACGGAGACCTGGAGAGGCCTACAAGCCACAGTGTCTCGCACCAACTGTGAAATTTGGTGGAGGATCGGTGATGATCTGGGGGTGCTTCAGCAAGGCTGGAATCGGGCAGATTTGTCTTTGTGAAGGACGCATGAATCAAGCCATGTACAAGGTTGTCCTGGAAGAAAACCTGTTTCCTTTTGCTCTGACATTGTTCCCCAACTCTGAGGATTGTTTTTTCCAGCAGAACAATGTGCCATGCCACACAGCCAGGTCAATCAAGGTGTGGATGGAGGACCACCAGATCAAGACCCTGTCATTACCAGCCCAATCCAGACCTGAACCCCATTGAAAACTTATGGAATGTGATCAAGAGGAAGATAGATGGTCACAAGCCATCAAACAAAGCCGAGCTGCTTGAATTCTTGCGCCAGGAGTGGCATAAAGTCACCCAACATCAATGTGAAAGACTGGTGGAGAGCCTGCCAAGACGCATGAAAGCTGTGATTGAAAATCAAGGTTATTCCACTAAATATTGATTTCTGAACTCTTCCTAAGTTAAAACATTAGTATTGTGTTGTTTAAAAAAACGTATTTTATTTGCATTATTCAAGGTCTGACAACACATTTTTATTTGGAATTTGGGAGAAATGTTGTCAGTAGTTTATAGAATAAAACCATTTTTTAAATTTCACCCAAACACATACCTATAAATAGTAAAACCAGAGAAACGTATATTTTTGCAGTGGTCTTAATTTTTTTCCAGAGCTGTATATATATATATATATATATATATTTGCAAAATAAATGTAAGGGGGATTGAAAATGATGCAGACAATTACATTGATGGAAGCCACAATCTATCTGCAATACTAAAGCTGATCTACCCCCTAAACAAATAAAATAAACAAATGGAGGAGGATGAGGAGGGAAAAGGAATGGAGGAGGAGGAGGAGGGAGAAGGAATGGAGGAGGAAGAGGGGGAGGGAGAAGGAATGGAGGAGGAAGAGGGAGGGAAGGAAAAGGGGGAGGGGGGAAAGGGGGGAAAATTTGGGGGGAAAGGGGGGGAGAAGGGAAAGGGGGAGAAAGGGGGCGGGGGGAAGGAAAAGGAGGAGGGGGAGGAGGGGGGAAAAATGGGGGAGGAAAGGGGGGCCCGGGAAAAAAGGGGGGGGGCAAAATTTTTTTTTGGAAACCCCAAAAATTTTTTTTAAAAGGGGGAAAAAAATGGGGGAAAAGGGGAGGGGAAAAAATTTTGGGGGGGGGAAAAGAAGGAGGAGGAAGGGGTGGGGAGAAGGAATTTAGGAGGGGGAGGGGGGAGGGAGAAGAAAAGGGGGGGAGGAGAAAAAGGGGGAAGTAGGGTAAATGGATTACAACCCCCCCAAAACCCCCCGGTTTTTTGCGCTGAGGCACTGCAGGGGGGCCCAATTTCCCGGGGTTTCAAGCATAAATAAATCTATAAAGGGGCTTACCCCTCTAAAACCCCGGAAATTTTACTGGTCATGACTTTAATAGGGGGGGCCCCTTTTAGATTTTTTTTATTTTTATGTTTAAAAAGGGCCTTTTAAGGATACGGACACCCTGCCAGGGACATGGGTCCCCCGGGGGGGGGGACATTTTGGGCCCGGGGGATGTCAAAAGGGGAAGGCGGGGAGAGGGTCAATACCCCAGGAGAAGGCCGGGGGAGAGATCAAACCACAAGGGGTTTTCCCCTGACTGGAAATAGGGGAAACCCTGCTTGTTTTTTGTTGTCCCAGTTACCTTCCAGCACGAAAAAGGGTGTCAAAGCTCCAAATGAAGCCCTTTAATACAGCTTACAAATACAACCTACTTTGTAGGTTTCAATAGCTACAATATCAATTAAATGCTGTAGGGGTTTCTGTAAAGGGTTAAAAATACACTACCAAAATCAAAACTAATGCGTAGGGGTTTCAATACAGCACAATATCAATCTATGCTGTAGGTTCCCAAAACAGGGTACAAAAAATTCATCCCACTGCTGTAGGTTTTAATTTCAGCCCAAAAATATCAATCTAATGCTGTAGGGTTTTAATAAAAGCTACAATATCAATCTACTTCGGGAAAAGGGTTTCAATTTCGCTACAATATCAATTACTGGGTGTAGGTTTCAATAAACAAAATAAATTCAAAAAATTTCGGTGGGAGGGGTTTCAAAACAGGGGTACAATAAACAAGCCCAAAATGCCCGTTTGGTTACAAAAAAGTACAATATCCAAAAAATGCGAAGGGTTTCCAATTTCAGGGGTAAAACCAAACAAAAGCTTTTAGGGTGACAATTAAAAAAGCTTTACAAATTAAAATCCTTTCTCTTTTTTTAGGTTTAACCAAAAAACCAGCTAACCAAACAATCCCAAAGTTAGGTTAAAAAAACTCAATATTTTTACTGCTTAGGTTTCAATCAAGCAATATAAAATTCGGCTTAGTTAAAATTTAAACTAAAAAATCAACATTGTATTCTATAAAAACTTTCTCTGATTTACCGACAACAATACAATTCCTTTTGCTTGTAGGGTTTTTTAAAACAAACCCCAAAATTTTCCAAATCTGCCTTTTTAGGGTTAAAATACACAACCCCAATATAAACCTACGGTAGGTTTTAAAAAACAAAAACACCTACTGCTGTAGGTTACAATTAACCCACAATATCAAATCTGGGTGTAGGTTAAAAATACCGCTACAATTATCAACTGGGTGTAAAGGTTACAATACAGCTACAATATCAATCTACTGCTGTAGGTTACAATACAGCTACAATATCAATCTACTGCTGTAGGTTACAATACAGCTACAATATCAATCTACTGCTGTGGGTTTAAAACAGTACAATATCAACCTAGGCTGAGGTTACATAAGCTACATACAATCTATGCTTATTACAATACGTAAAAATTCAATCTATGCTGTAGGACAATACAGTAAATATAATCTACGCTGTAGGTTCAATAAAACTACAATAAAAATCTCTCTTAGGTTACAATACAGCTACAATACAATCTACTTGTGGGTAAAATCAGCTACAATATAAATTATGCTGTATTACATACATACAAATAAAAATTACTGCAGAGGTCCAATACAGTACAAATCAATTACTGCTGGGGTTTAAACAAATAAATATACTGCTGTAGGCTACAATATAAATCTACTGCTGTAGGCTTCAATATAAATATACTGCTGTAGGCTACAATATAAATATACTGCTGTGGGTTCAATAAAATCTACTGCTGAGGCTACAAAAAAATCTACTGCTGTGGTTACATATAATTCGCTGAAATTTACAATATAAATATATGCTGTAGGTTAAATAAAAAATTTTGCTGTAGCACATTAAATTACGCTTGGCTTCAATATAAATCTACGTGAGGTTACAATAAAAATCTACTGCTGTGGCAAAATAAAATTACTGCTGAGGTTAAATATAAATTACTGTGTAGTTACAATAAAAATTCTCTGAGGTAAAATTAAAAACTACGCTGGGGCTTCAAATAAATCTATCTGTGGGCTACAATTAAATCTATCTGTGGGTTTACAATAAAAATCTACTGCGTGGGCTACATATAATATACTGCGTAGGTTACAATATAAATAAAATGCTGTAGGTACAATAAAAACTACTGCGTGGTAAAATATAAAATACTGCTGAGCTAAAATATAAATATACTGCTGTAGGTACAATATAAATCTACTGCTGTAGGCTACAATATAAATCTACTGCGTGGCACAAATTAAATATACGGCTGTAGGTTAAATATAAATCTACTGCGTGGTTACAATATAAATTATGCACAATAAAACTACTGCTGTGGGTTTAAAATATACATTATGCAAAATATACTCTACTGTGTAGGTTACAATTAAATCTGTGTGGTAGGCTTCAAATAAATTTTGCGTAGGTTCCAAATAAATCTACGCTTAGGTTCAAAAACATATACTGCTGTAGGTTTAAAATATAAATACTGCTACAATATAAATTAGCGAGGCAATAAAAATTACTGCTGTGGGGCTAAAAATTTTAAAATCTATGTGTAGAACAATAAAAAATCTACTGGTGGTAAAAAAAAAAATTACTTTTGTAGGTTCAAATAAAATACGCTGGGGTTAAAATAAAAATATACTGCTGTAGATAAAATAAATCTCTGCTGTAGTACAATATAATATACGCTGTAGTTACAAATAAATCTACTGCTGTAGGCAAAATATAAATCACTGGTGGCTACAATTAAATCTACTGCTGGGCCCAAAATAAAATCTCTGCTTAGGTTACAATAAAATACTGTGTAGGAAATATAAATCCTGCTGAGGCAAAAATATAAATTACTGCTGTGGGCTAAAATATAAATCTACTGTTGTAGGTTACAATAAAAAATATACGGCGTAGGTTTACAATAAAAAATTACTGCTGTAGATAAATTTAAAATCTACTGGTAGGCTACAATAAAAAACTGCTGTAGGTTCAAATAAATCTCGCTGTAGGCCCAAATAAATCTACTGGAGGCTACAAATAAACACTGCGTAGGCTACAATATAAATCTACTGCTGTAGGTTACAATATAAATATACTGCTGTAGGTTACAATATAAATCTCGTTAGGCTAAAATATAAATTATGTGAGGCAAAATAAAAATCTACTCTGTAGGCTACATAAAAATCTATGCTGTAGGCTCAAAAAATCTTTTGGGAGGCTACAATATAAAATACTGCTGTAGGTTACAAATAAATCTACGCTGTGGGTTTACAATACATTCCAATAAAAAAAAATTTTTTTTCACTACTGGTCCCTCCCCCCACCTTGTCAAAGCCGGAAAAAAATCACAACTCCCAAAAAAAGTTTTGCACATACCCCGGATAGGGCTGAAATTTGTTTTTTTACGGGTCACCCGAGTAGTTGATAGTGCAGTGTAATGTTTTTTTTACAGGGTCAGCCTAGTAGTAGAAGGCCAGTGAAATGTGTTTTTACGGGGTCATATAGTAGTATTAGGTCCATGTAAGTGTTGTTTTACAGGGTCAGCCATAGTAGATGATAGGTAGTGTAATGTGTTTTTTTACAGGGTCACCATAGTATTTGATGGGGTGCAGTGAAAGTGTTTTTTTTAAAGGGTCAGCCATAGATAGGATGGGTTGCAGGTAATGTTTTGTTTTACAGGGAGCCATAGTAGTATAAAGGGTGCAGTGAAAGTGTTTTTACGGGGTAGCCATATAGTATGATAGGTGCGTGTAATGTGTTTTTTTTTCAGGGTAGCCATAGAGTATAAGGTGCGGTAAGGTTTTTGTTTTACGGGGTCAGCCTAGTATATAAAGGGTCATTTTAAGGTTTTTTTACGGGGTCACCATAGTAGTAGATGGCCATTTAAATGGGTGTTTTAAAGGTCCCCTAGAGTATGATGGGTCCAGTGAATGTGTTTTACGGGGTCACCTAGTTATGATAGGTGCGGGTTAATGTGTTTTTTTACGGGGTCACCCCAAAGTATGATAGGTGCATGAAATTGTTGTTTTAAAGGGTCGTCAAGCAACGGAGCTCTGGAGAAAATTAGATTAAGGCCTTGCCAAAGGGACATCAAAGATTTTTTACCATGTCGGGTCGGGCATTAAACCAGCGACCTTTCGGTTAAAGGCCCAACGCTCTAACAGACAGGCTACCTGCCTGCCCTCTAAGAAACCTACCCTGAACCTACATGTATGATAGGTTCAGTACACCTAGCCAAAAAATTATCTCCAGACAGACTTATTGGTGCCGTCTAACGGCCTCTCGTCAGATCTGTGATATATCGTATAGGGACAATATCCCCTACCTTGGCCGACGCTGGACCAATTGTGCGCCGCCCATGGGTCTCCCGGTTGCGGCCGGCTGCGACAGAGCCTGGACTCTAACCAGGATCTCTAGTGGCACAGCTAGCACTGCGATGCAGTGCCTTAGACCACTGCACCACTTGGGAGTCTATTAGGAAGGTGTTCTTAATGTTTTGTACACTCAGTGTATAATACACAATGTTCATCACTAGAATCCCTACCTTGTTAAAGCTGGATAGTGGGGGGCCCTCCGCCGGCCTCTCGAAGCTTACCGGCTCCTCCTCCTCACTGGACAGTTGGGGCCTCAGGGTGGGGCTGAGGGGGCTGCAAGGGGTTGTGGGAGAGAAGCAAGGGGTTGTGGGGGAGATGGGCGTCGGCGCCAGCTTCACCTCGGGACTCTTGGGCGAGGGCAGCAGAGAGGTGGGCGACAGGGCTAGGTTTGCCTGGAGTTGGAGAGAGAGAGAAAGAGAGAGAGAGAGAGGGAGGGGAGATAGGATAGGTTAGAGAAAGAGAGAGAGGTCAGCGCCGATGATCTTGCAGTCTCACCATGACGGGTTTTTAACTACCTGCCCAGGGGCTACAGATGAAAGTTCACCTTTTGGTTGAATCTAGACCCCTATCCACTAAAGGTTATAAAAGACAGGCAGCTAGACTATGAGCAACAATGCTACATAGGCCAGAAGAGAGAGAGACAGAAGAGCTTGATTCTGGTACGAAGTTTTAAAAGCAGAACTATGAGGTACATGTACAGTTGAAGTCGGAAGTTTACATACACCTTAGCCAAATACATTTAAACTCAGTTTGTCACAATTCCTGACATTTCATTCTAGTAAAAATTCCCTGTCTTAGGTCAGTTAGGATCACCACTCTATTTTAAGAATGTGAAATGTCAGAATAATAGTAGAGAGAATGATTTATTTCAGCTTTTATTTATTTCATCACATTCCCAGTGGGTCAGAACATTGCCTTTAAATTGTTTAACTTGGGTCAAACGTTTTTGGTAGCCTTCCACAAGCTTCCCACAATAAGTTGGGTGAATTTTGGCCCATTCCTCCTGACAGAGCTGGTGTAACTGAGTCAGGTTTGTAGGCCTCCTTGCTCGCACAAATGCTTTTTCAGTTCTGCCCACAATTTTCTATAGGATTGACGTCAGGGCTTTGTGATGGCCACTCCAATACCTTGACTTTGTTGTCCTTAAGCCATTTTGCCACAACTTTGGAAGTATGCTTGGGGTCATTGTCCATTTGGAAGACCCATTTGCGACCAAGCTTTAACTTCCTGACTGATGTCTTGAGATGTTGCTTCAATATATCCACATAATTTTCCTTCCTCATGATGCCATCTATTTTGTGAAGTGCACCAGTCCCTCCTGCAGCAAAGCACCCCCACAGCATGGTGCTGCCACCCCCGTGCTTCACGGTTGGGATGGTGTTCTTCAGCTTGCAAGCCTTCCCCTTTTTCCTCCAAACATAACGATGGTCATTATGGCCAAACAGTTCTGTTTTTCTTTCATCAGACCAGAAGACATTTCTCCAAAAAGTACGATCTTTGTCCCCATGTGCAGTTGCAAACCGTAGTCTGGCTTTTTTTATGGCGGTTTTGGAGCAGTGGCTTCTTCCTTGCTGAGCGGCCTTTCAGGTTATGTCGATATAGGACTTGTTTTACTGTGGATATAGATACTTTTGTAACTGTTTCCTCCAGCATCTTCACAAGGTCCTTTGCTGTTGTTCTGGGATTGATTTGCACTTTTCGCACCAAAGTACGTTCATCTCTAGGAGACAGAACGCGTCTCCTTCCTGAGCAGTATGACGGCTGCGTGGTCCCATGGTGTTTATACTTGCGTACTATTGTTTGTACAGATGAACGTGGTACCTTCAGGCATTTGGAAATTGCTCCCAAGGATGAACCAGTCTTGTGGAGGTCTACAATATTTGAGTTTGAAGGTAGGCCTTTGAAATACATCCACAGGTACACCTCCAATTGACTCAAATGATGTCAATTAGCCTATCAGAAGCTTCTAAAGCCATGACATCATTTTCTGGAATCTTCCAAGCTGTTTAAAGGCACAGTCAACTTAGTGTATGTAAACTTCTGACCCACTGGAATTGTGATACAGTGAATTATAAGTGAAATAATGTGTCTGTAAACAATTGTTGGAAAAATGACTTGTGCCATGCACAAAGTAGATGTCCTAACCGACTTGCCAAAACTATACTTTGTTAACAAGAAATTTGTGGAGTAGTTGAAAACGAGTTTTAATGACTCCAACCTAAGTGTACGTAAACTTCCGACTTCAACTGTACACACATGACATAGGCTTCCAGATCCCATCCATCAAAGCCCACAGACAACTGCTTAAGAAAGAGAGACACATGACGACTTCACTAACACAGGCGACAAAATAGACAAACCAAAATCTGTTAATAGCTCAATGACCCACTCCTCCTATTCACAAAGACACTGACCCACTCCTCCTATTCACAAAGACACTGACCCACTCCTCTATTCACAAAGACACTGACCCACTCCTCCTGTTCACAAAGACACTGACCCACTCCTCCTATTCACAAAGACACTGACCCACTCCTCCTATTCACAAAGACACTGACCCACTCGTCTATTCACAAAGACACTGACCCACTCCTCCTATTCACAAAGACACTGACCCACTCCTCCTATTCACAAAGACACTAACCCACTCCACCTATTCACAAAGACACTGACCCACTCCTCTATCCACAAAGACACTGACCCACTCCTCTATTCACAAAGACACTGACCCACTCCTCCTATTCACAAAGACACTGACCCACTCCTCCTATTCACAAAGACACTGACCCATTCCTCCTATTCACAAAGACACTGACCCACTCCTCCTATTCACAAAGACACTGACCCACTCCTCTATTCACAAAGACACTGACCCACTCCTATTCACAAAGACACTGACCCACTCCTCCTATTCACAAAGACACTGACCCACTCCTCCTATTCACAAAGACACTGACCCCACTCCTCCTATTCACAAAGACACTGACCCACTCCTCCTATTCACAAAGACACTGACCCACTCCTCCTATTCACAAAGACACTGACCCACTCCTCCTATTCACAAAGACACCTACTCCTACTATCTATCAAAGACACTGACCCACTCCTCCTATTCACAAAGGACACTGACCCACTCCTCCTATTCACAAAGACACTGACCCACTCCTCCTATTCACAAAGACACTGACCCACTCCTCCTATTCACAAAGACACTGACCCACTCCTCTATTCACAAAGACACTGACCCACTCCTCCTATTCACAAAGACACTGACCTACTCCTCTATTCAAAGACACTGACCCACTCCTATCACAAAGACACTGACCCACTCCTCCTATTCACAAAGACACTGACCCACTCCTCCTATTCACAAAGACACTGACCCACTCCTCCTATTCACAAAGACACTGACCTACTCCTCTATTCAAAGACACTGACCCACTCCTATTCACAAAGACACTGACCCACTCCTCCTATTCACAAAGACACTGACCCACTCCTCCTATTCACAAAGACACTGACCCACTCCTCCTATTCACAAAGACACTGACCCACTCCTCCTATTCACAAAGACACTGACCCACTCCTCTATTCACAAAGACACTGACCCACTCCTCCTATTCACAAAGACACTGACCCACTCCTCCTATTCACAAAGACACTGACCCACTCCTCCTATTCACAAAGACACTGACCCCACTCCTCCTATTCACAAAGACACTGACCCACTCCTATTCACAAAGACACTGACCCACTCCTCTATCCACAAAGACACTGACCCACTCCTCCTATTCACAAAGACACTGACCCACTCCTCCTATTCCCCCAGAAAAGCTGTGTAGGCACCAAGCAGATTTGTACCTGCGTCATAGAACAGGACAGAGAGCGAGACAGAGAGAGAGAGAGAGAGAGAGAGAGAGAGAGAGAGAGAGAGAGAGAGAGAGAGAGAGAGAGAGAGATTACTGTCCTTGTCCTGCTTCAGTATCCTGAAGTGCCCTCCTCTATTCAACACAGTACACACCTGACGCAACACAACTACGACCCAGTCCTGACTACCTACGGACCAGCACTGAGCCACCCTACAGAACACAACCTCCCTCTAACATCCTAGTGATGGAGGAGGGATTCTGTTCTTTCCTACCTGGACGGGGGAGAAGAAGAAGAGAGAGAAGCGACAACCATTCTGTCCCATGGCTTCTGTCCGAGCCGAGCCGAGGGAGTCAGAGAGACTACAGTGAAGTAAAGCTGCCTGCCAGCCTGTCAGAGAATGGCCTCTCTGTCTCTCTCTGTCTCAGTCTCTCTCTCTCTCTCTCACTCTCACTCTCTCTCTGTCCTTGAGCTCATTAGCTCATCAATGTCAGCCGATTGGAGAGTGTTCAGGGATTGGGCCCTTCCCCCACCACTCACACGGACGGGGATATTCATTAACTGACATCTACATACCACTAGGTGGCGGATTGGTGTCAGAAATAAAAGCCACAGCAAAACACTGCCAGCCTACTAACGTGACAGTACAGCTGTATGCTGGTATCTAAGCTTGCTGTTGCCTTGGTTACACTACAACAATATAGACAGGTTGGCTGACAACGGTGGCTCGTTTCAGCTAGTTTTAATTTGTTTCTTGATACCATGTCTTTGAGGTGTTTTGACTGATGTCATGTCTATGCTAATAGGCCAATCACCCACCACTGAACATGTACAGTATTGGAGATAAACAGTGTCATTTTACATGTATTTGTTCAATAACACTGAACAAATATTTACAGTTCCAAATCTAGCAACCCTGTCGTTTGCCCATTGCACACGCTCGGTTTGTTTGCGAAACAACCAACCCATCATAGATGTAATTATCTTGCTCCTACAGTAAACGAACAGTATCCGTTTATACATTAGCAGAAATAGGGACAAAAAATTTTTTTCTTCTGTGGTTTTAAGTTTATCAAGCAATTCACGGCTCTGGTAGACAGGATCTCTACAGCACCTCTATGGCCTCTGTTGTCAGACAGAGATCCTACAGAACTTCTAGGCTCTTGTCAGACAGATGTCATTCCTACCTCTCTCAACTATGTGTCCAAAGAGATTCTAACCCACTCTACTGTGCCTCTGTGTAGCAGTAGATCTCTACAGCACCTCACTGGCTGTTCAGAAGAGATTTACAGACCTTACTGGCCTTGTTGTCAGACAGAGATCTGACACAAACCTTTACTGCTCTGTGTCCAGACAAGATCTCAAGCACTCTACTGCTCTTGTTCAGACCAATATTCTACAGCACCTCTACGGCTCTTGTGTCGAACAGAGACTCTCAACCCTATGGCCTACTTGTCAGACAGAGTATCTCTACAGCACCTCTATGCCTCGTGTCACAGAGATCCTAACAGCACCTCTCTGGCCTTTGTAACAGAGATCTCTACAGCACTCACTGGCCCTGTGTCAACAGAAGATTTACAGTCCTCTACTGGCCTCTGTGTCAGACAGAGATCTACAGCACCTCTACTGGCCTCTGTGTCAGACAGAGATCTCTACAGCACCTCTACTGGCCTCTGTGTCAGACAGAGATCTCTACAGCACTTCTACTGGCCTCTGTGTCAGACAGAGGTTGTTTTCTGAGGTTGTTTCCTGCTACAACATCTACTAAAAGGTTTCACTTTGTTTTGAGGCACATTGAAAAACAATTCTGTAGGAGTGATTTGAAAGTGCAAACAAAAGCTTTCTGCCCTTGCCTGGCACCAGATCTTTCAGTCAACTTCTCAAACTATATCATTGTCAGATCTGAGAGCAGCTAGGCCAAGACTTGGACAGCAACACACAGACAGGGATACACTGACCTGCAGCTTCTCGATGAGGGGGGAGCTCTTGGAAGTCTTCAGCTTGACTTTGGGGGGTTGTGGAGAGACGATGCTGGGTTTCTATGGACACGACAGACACCAAAGAGTTAACAGAGACGGTTGTCACTATAAGACCAAGATAGTGACTGAGACAGACCACTTGAACGCAATCCCCAGAAAGAGGACAACTAACAGACCAAAACATCAATCAGGCGCGCTTGACATTTTAAAGGTCATTTCCGGCCTTGGTTTAAAAGACTGGACATTTACTAAGAGGGGAATTTCCTCGTAGCCAAATCAGCATTTTCTAAAACAGAAACATAATGACTTCTACCTCCAGTTCCCCATGGTCATGTTTCATGTTGTGAAGCTGCAGGGAGCACGGAGGAGGTCTCCGTCTGACAGGCTTCCTCTGCAACACAATGAGAGAATAGTTAATCACATACAAATACAGGTATTCAGATACAACTACAGGTATTCAGATACAACTTCAGGTATTCAGATACAACTTCAGGTATTCAGATACAACTTCAGGTATTCAGATACAACTTCAGGTATTCAGATACAACTTCAGGTATTCAGATACAACTTCAGGTATTCAGATACAACTTCAGGTATTCAGATATAAATACAGGTATTCAGATACAACTTCAGGTATTCAGATACAACTTCAGGTATTCCGATATAAATACAGGTATTCAGATACAACTTCAGGTATTCCGATATAAATACAGGCATTCAGATACAGGTATTCAGATATAAATACAGGCATTGGTAACTTCTATACTAGTGTTGTCACGATACCAGGATTAGTATCACAATACTCCATACCATCACAATACTCCATACCATCATCACAATACTCCATACTAAAACAATACCACAGGAAAAAGAGAAGGTGCATTAGCCAAAGTCATAGAATGGCACTTGATCCAGACAAATCTTTTGAGTTCAATATCATTACATTTGAAATGTTTGATGACAATTCTTCAGAGACAGCCATGTAAGCATTAATTAATCAATTATACAATCAATCTGACCAATCTAACTACACAACATTATTGGTAATAATTTATTTGAATGGTAAATCTCTATTGATAAACTGGGTAAATCAAGATGTAGCCTAGGCTTATACAAAATACAGGTGGACGCATATTCAATAGGAGTGTGTGCATGCATTGAGTTATTGAGCTTGTGTGGGCTGATTTCATGGGGCTACAGATGAAAAACAAATCTGTTTCCTTTCCATTTGGGACTTAAATTTACTGTACTGATCAACAACTTTTTTTTATAAAAGTGTACGCTGTCTCTTAAAGAGAGATGTGACTGAGGCAATTCGGTGGTTGTGAATTAATAACGTTTTTGGCAATGACTGTATCGTTTTTGGTGGCAATCAGCAGCTTTGAAATCAGCATACTTTGCGTTATGGTTTGCATATTATCACATACAAAGTACTAGGGTGGTGAACTGATGTTAGCTTAAGCCGTAAGCTGGCAAGGAAAGTTAGCCTACAAAGCTGGAAGCTACTGCTATCTTTTGTTCTTGCATTGTAAAGTGTTCTAGCGTACAGAAATTAACAGTTGCAACATTTCTACATGCCGTGTTGCACTATTCAAGTGTGTTAACTTCTGTGCAGCATGAGTGGGGAGCCAACGTGATGCAGACCAGACTCCCAGTGAGTGAGGAGATAACATGATGCAGACCAGACTCCCAGTGAGTGGGGAGCCAACATGATGCAGACCAGACTCCCAGTGAGTGGGGAGCCAACATGATGCGGACCAGACTCCCAGTGAGTGGGGAGCCAACATGATGCGGACCAGACTCCCAGTGAGTGGGGAGCCAACATGATGCGGACCAGACTCCCAGTGAGTGGGGAGCCAACATGATGCGGACCAGACTCCCAGTGAGTGGGGAGCCAACATGATGCGGACCAGACTCCCAGTGAGTGGGGAGCTAACATGATGCGGACCAGACTCCCAGTGAGTGGGGAGATAACGTGATGCAGACCAGACTCCCAGTGAGTGAGGAGATAACATGATGCGGACCAGACTCCCAGTGAGTGGGGAGCCAACATGATGCAGACCAGACTCCCAGTGAGTGAGGAGTTAACATGATGCGGACCAGACTCCCAGTGAGTGAGGAGCCAACATGATGCGGACCAGACTCCCAGTGAGTGAGGAGATAACATGATGCAGACCAGACTCCCAGTGAGTGGGGAGCCAACATGATGCGGACCAGACTCCCAGTGAGTGGGGAGCCAACATGATGCGGACCAGACTCCCAGTGAGTGGGGAGCCAACATGATGCGGACCAGACCTCCCAGTGAGTGGGGAGCTAACATGATGCGGACCAGACTCCCCAGTGAGTGGGGAGATAACGTGATGCAGACCAGACTCCCAGTGAGTGAGGAGATAACATGATGCGGACCAGACTCCCAGTGAGTGGGGAGCCAACATGATGCAGACCAGACTCCCAGTGAGTGAGGAGTTAACATGATGCGGACCAGACTCCCAGTGAGTGAGGAGCCAACATGATGCGGACCAGACTCCCAGTGAGTGGGGAGCCAACATGATGCGGACCAGACTCCCAGTGAGTGAGGAGATAACATGATGCGGACCAGACTCCCAGTGAGTGAGGAGATAACATGATGCGGACCAGACTCCCAGTGAGTGAGGAGGTAACATGATGCGGACCAGACTCCCAGTGAGTGGGGAGTTAACATGATGCGGACCAGACTCCCAGTGAGTGCAGTGGTTCCTCAGGACAGACTGGAGCCAGCAGTGAGTAAGCGGAGCCAGCAGTGAGTAAGCGGAGCCGGCAGTGAGTAAGCGGAGCCAGCAGTGAGTAAGCGGAGCCGGCAGTGAGTAAGCGGAGCCAGCAGTGAGTAAGCGGAGCAGGCAGTGAGTAAGCGGAGCAGGCAGTGAGTAAGCGGAGCCAGCAGTGAGTAAGCGGAGCCGGCAGTGAGTAAGCGGAGCCAGCAGTGAGTAAGCGGAGCCAGCAGTGAGTAAGCGGAGCCAGCAGTGAGTAAGCGGAGCCAGCAGTGAGTAAGCGGAGCCAGCAGTGAGTAAGCGGAGCCGGCACGGAGCTCTCACGCTATCAGGGGACCTCGGCTGCGCTGGTAGACGGACCTGATCCGCTCTCAATCAGTGAGACGACGTGAGACACATTTTGATAAAAAAATACAGAAAGTAAAGCAAGTTTGGGTATACCAAATGCAACACTAGTCTATACCTCTATTAGGACCAACCAGTGAGTTAACCATCAACATGGGAGGCAGAGGAGACATGGCGACTTTACCACAGAACTAGAATGAGATGCTATTTAGGAACTTCACCTCGTCATGTGCAGTGGGCGTCGGTATGACGTGACCTTTGAACCTCCCAGCCAGCTCGACCACCGACGGCTTGACTGGAGAATCCTTCTGAAAACACAAAAAGGTCATAGGTTCAGCAACACAGAAACACAGTCATTACATTACATTGCCATGAGCCAAGGAAAGTACTCTGGACAAAGTGCCCTCCGTTGAGGAGAAGGGGGTCCAAAGTCGTAGTACTTTTGGATTGGAACATTTGTTCTCTCCCTGAAAACAGAGCTGTGATTGTGGTTCTATCTGTCCACAGGAAGAGAGAGACGGCATCCCAGAAACAGCTGGCCAACATCACACTACATTCATATTGCTGCTGCCTGGGACATGACATCAGGGTCTTGATCTGGCCTTATCGTCTTATCACTGGTTGTGTTGGCCTCTCTCTCTCTTTCTCTCTCCCTCTCTGCATCCCTCTCTCCCTCCCCCCCCGCCTCTCTCCCCCCCCCCTCCCCCCTCCCCCCTCTCCCCCTCCCCTCCCCTCCCTCTCTGCATCCCTCTCTCCCCTCCCCTCCCCTCCCCCTCCCTCTCTGCATCCCTCTCTCTCCCCCCCCGCTCTCTCTCCCCTCCAGGCTGTCAACTCCCACTATTCCCATGCTGATTTCTGGGTCTGACTCCTCAATGTTTTTCTCTCTGTTCTCCTCTGATGGCTATTAGGTCATTCCTGATATCTGTGCAGCAGGGGAGTGATAAGGTGGTTTCTTTTGGTGACCTAATGCGTGGAGAGGCTTGAATGTACCACAGCATATATGATTGCGTCCCAAATGGCACCCTATTCCCATATAGTGCACTACTTTTGAAAAAAAAAAGTTGTACACTATGTAGGTATTAGGGTGCCATTTGGGACGTAGTCTACATCTTCAAAACACAATACTAGTGTTGTCCGTTTAGGTTCCCAGTTCCCATAACTGATATGACAAGCACAAGCTCAGCATACTTTGGTGACTTTTGGACTGGCCAAGTTGTTTGTAGCGTGAAAGGAATGTGAATTGTTCGAATATTCTGACATATTCATAGTGATTATGACACTATTCATGTCTCAAGTCGAGGTATACAGCTCTACTTTCTATTTCTCTCTCTCTCTCTCTCTCTCTCTCTCTCTCTCTCTCTCTCTCTCTCTGTTTCTCTCTGTGTTTCTGTTTCGCTCTCTCTCTCTCTCTGTTTCTCTCTCCGTTTCTCTCTTTATCTCTCTCTCTCTCTGTTTCCTCTATATTGGCCAGTAAATCTCAAGCTGACCAGTTGACAGTTTTCACATGTATTTCTCTTCTTCTCCCATACTCTTGTCTGTTTTGTCGCCTGTGTTAGTGAAGTCGTCATGTGTCTCTCTTTCTTAAGCGGTTGTCTGTGGGCTTTGATGGATGGGATCTGGAAGCCTATGTCATGTGTGTGTGTACATATACTTCATAGTTCTGCTTTTAAAACCTCGTACCAGAATCAAGCTCTTCTGGCTCTCTCTCTTCTGGCCTATGTAGCATTGTTGCTCATAGTCTAGCTGCCTGTCTTTTATAACCTTTAGTGGATAGGGTTCTATATTCAACCAAAAGGTGAACTTTCATCTGTAGCCCCAGGGCAGGTAGTTAAAAACCCGTCATGGTGAGACTGCAAGATCATCGGCGTTGACCTCTCTCTGCCTGCCAGCCTGTTGGAGAACGGCCTTGAGCTCTCTCTTTCTCCCTCTCTCTCTAGTCCATTTTTATTCTGTTCATGGAAACACATATCTCCCACCACATTCTTAACAACAGTCTGAGATATACACAACATTCCATTTTAATCACATTTATTTTTCTTCTCTCTCCCCTCCTCCCTCTCTCTCTCTCTCTCACCCCTCCTCCATCTCTCTCTCTCTCCTCCCTCCTCGCTCTCTCTCTCTCTCCCCTCCTCGCTCTCTCTCTCTATCCCCCCTCCCTGCTCTCTCTCTCTCCCCCCTCCTCCTCCTCCATCTCCCTCTCCTCGCTCTCTCTCTCTCCCCCCCCTCCTCGCTCTCTCTCTCTCACCCCTCCTCGCTCTCTCTCTCTATCCCCCCTCCCTGCTCTCTCTCTCCCCCCTCCCTCTCTCAGAATGACATCACCCACCTCTCTCCCTCCACCCAGTTGTATTACGCCATCATGGACTGACTGCCTGGACCCAGAGTGTGTGTGTGTGTGCTCGTACATGTGTGTGCACATACAGTTGAAGTCGGAAGTTAACATACACCTTAGCCAAATACATTTAAACTCAGTTTTTCACAATTAATGACATTTAATCCTAGTAAAAATTCCCTGTCTTAGGTCAGTTAGGATCACCACTTTATTTTAAGAATGTGAAATGTCAGAATAATAGTAGAGAGAATGATTTATTTCAGCTTTTATTTCTTTCATCACATCCCCAGTGGGTCAGAAGTTTACATACACTCAATTAGTATTTGATAGCATTGCCTTTAAATTGTTTAACTTGGGTTAAACGTTTTGGGTAGCTTTCCACAAGTTTCCCACAATAAGTTGGGTGAATTTTGGCCCATTCCTCCTGACAGAGCTGGTGTAACTGAGTCAGGTTTGTAGGCCTCCTTGCTCACACACGCTTTTTCAGTTCTGCCCACACATTTTCTATAGGATTGAGGTCAGGGCTTTGTGATGGCCACTCCAATACCTTGACTTTTGCCACAACTTTGGAAGTACGCTTGGGGTCATTGTCCATTTGGAAGATCCATTTGCAACCAAGCTTTAACTTCTGACTGATGTCTTGAGATGTTGCTTCAATATATCCACATAATTCTCCTTCCTCATGATGCCATCTATTTTGTGAAGTACACCAGTCCCTCCTGCAGCAAAGCACCCCCACAGCATGATGCTGCCACCCCCGTGCTTCACGGTTGGGATGGTGTTCTTCGGCTTGCAAGCTTTCCCCTTTTTCCTCCAAACTTAACGATGGTCATTATGGCCAAACAGTTCTATTTTTGTTTCATCAGACCAGAGGACATTTCTCCGAAAAGTACGATCTTTGTCCCCATGTGCAGTTGCAAACCGTAGTCTGGCTTTTTAATGGCGGTTTTGGAGCAGTGGCTTCTTCCTTGCTGAGCAGCCTTTCAGGTTATGTCGATATAGGACTCGTTTTACTGTGGATATAGATACTTTTGTACCTGTTTCCTCCAGTATCTTCACAAGGTCCTTTGCTGTTGTTCTGGGATTGATTCGCACCAAAGTACGTTCATCTCTAGGAGACAGAACGCGTCTCCTTCCTGAGCGGTATGACGGCTGCGTGGTCCCATGGTGTTTATACTTGCGTACTATTGTTTGTACAGATGAACGTGGTACCTTCAGGCGTTTGGAAATTGCTCCCAAGGATGAACCAGACTTGTGGAGGTCTGCAATTATTTTTCTGAGGTCTTGGCTGATTTCTTTTGATTTTCCCATGATGTCAAGCAAAGAGGCACTGAGTTTGAAGGTAGGCCTTGAAATACATCCACAGGTACACCTCCAAATGACTCAAATGATGTCAATTAGCCTATCAGAAGCTTCTAAAGCCATGACATCATTTTCTGGAATTTTCCAAGCTGTTTAAAGGCACAGTCAACTTAGTGTATGTAAACTTCTGACCCACTGGAATTGTGATACAGTGAATTATAAGTGAAATAATCTGTCCGTAAACAATAGTTGGAAAAATTACTTGTCATGCACAAAGTAGATGTCCTAACCGACTTGCCAAAACTATAGTTTGTTTAAAAATAAATTTGTGGAGTGGTTGAAAAACGAGTTTTAATGACTCCAACCTAAGTGTATGTAAACTTTCGACTTCAATGCCACTCAGTGCCTCCCTTTCTGGGTCTGATCCACAACCCACTCCTTTAATTTCCTTTCCTGAGCCTGACGCTTTCTTCATCCCTGAGAAATCCAACTCACTGGGGAACACCCAGCCTCAACCTTTATTTTGTCGCCCCTGATTGTTTAACTCTTTCCTGTGTGTGGAAAACAAACATCCTCTATAGTTCAAAAAAATAAAAATAAATGAGAAACTGTTTTATTCAACATTCAGTTAGTTGTTCTGATTGGACTGACGCAGAGCTGAGAGGTTCTGATAAAAGCACAGGAACAGAATTGGGTAATAGTCCACACACACACGCCATTCAGAGAGAGAACCTTGTAATAGGTTATTTCTGTAAGACAACCAATAGAATGACTTTGTTTCGGTCAGCTGATACTTAGCTGAGCTCTGGCGAAGAACAGAAGAGAACAGAGGAGAAAAGAGTGTGGGAAACGACTTCCTGTCCCGGCAGGGGAGAGCAGAACAGGCCAGAGAGAAGGGTTAGCCCAGAGAGAAGCTCTATTTTAGGGGCCCAAGGCCTGGGAACGAGCCCCGGAGCCCTCAACATGGTCTGAATCACTGGTCAGGATGTAACCCCTGAGCTTTGAGGTCGGAGGAGATCTGTTCCTTCCCAACTACATTGTCCCAAGGCAATTGTAACATAACTACACTAGTTTTACTACAATAACATTAGTTCAGGACATGGCTGGAAAAGGAATCAATGATGAGCGTTCGACTACTAACACCAGTGTCCCCCTACGGGCCCTGGTCATCAGTAGTGCAGTATATAGGAAGTAGACACCAGTGTCCCCCTACGGGCCCTGGTCATCAGTAGTGCAGTTTTAGGGAAATAAAAACCAGTGGTCCCCCCACGGGCCCTGGTATAACATGCATATTAAAGGAAATAACCCAGTGTCCCCCCCCAGGGCCCTGGTCTCTGTGCAGTATATAGGAAGTCCCCCCCACGGGCCCTGGTCAATTTTGGGAGTATATGGGGGCCCCCTACGGGCCCCTGGTATCAAATTCAAAATTTAGGAGTCCCCCTAGGGCCCTGGTCACATATGAGTATATATAGGGAAATCCCCCTCGGGCCCCTGTCATCAGAGGCATATATAGGAAGTCCCCCTACGGGGCCCCCATCTAGTGATTATAGGGAATCCCCCCAGGGCCCGGTCATCGTTGGATTATAAGTCCCCCCCCCGGGGCCCCGGTTTTAGTAGGGGAGTTATGGAAATCCCCCTCGGGCCCGGTCTCAGAGTGCATTAAAAGGAAGCCCCCCTTTCGGGGCCCTGGGCATCATGTCAGATAAGGAAATCCCCCTGGGCCCGGGGCATCATTTTGGCTATATAGGAGCAGGGGGGGCCTTTGAGATCGCCATTTTTCTTGTCTCTTTCCGAGACGTGTAGGGGGGAAAGGTTAACGAGATACAAGCTATTAATGAACCTCTGACTTCCCTCCGTTTTCCGACCCGGCTTTTTGTTTTAGTACGAGGCCCAAAAAAGACAAAAACAGCACACGCGCATACATCACAC